AAAAACGAGATTTGAAACTCTTGTCACAAGTCTGCACTATGTCTTTCTCAACAAGTTATATTATGATACATGGTGATCGCTTTGTGAAAGCCTCATAAATGTTGATGTATTGGAAATTATATTAAGAGTAAAGCAAAGTCTGCTTATATTCTGTACCATTTGAACAAACTTGCCTTATATAAATACACATAAATTCCATAGTAATAAGAATGCTTAAGCCTTGGTGATTTCCATGTGTAATTAATAGACAACAAGGCAGATTTCCAGTGATATATTATAACCTTTCTTCCTTGGGTTTGAAGGAAAATAATATTTGAAGAGCCAGATACAGTAGTATATATTTAAAGAAGGATGGATGAAGCATTGGCTTCTCTTCTGTTTTGATTTAATACTATTACAGTTCTTTATTGAACTTGAAAAATATAGTTGAGAGTATAGTTCTGGGTGGTATTTGCGCTCTAATCCCATTTTCATCCTTTTCACTTGAGAATCATTTGTGAGCACATTATATTTCTTGCTTTTAAAACAAATGTTATCCCCATTTGTCAGATTTATTCCTGTCCTTTGCCCTCTACATTAGACTTTATTGCCAAAGTTATTTATTAGCAAATTAATCAAATGCTTTTTCAGCCCCTACATTGATCATTTTCATTTCTTTGAGTTAGGTAGACTATTACAGCCAAGTTCCCTGTATAAGACATAAACATGTCAACACTCTGATTATTAAAATTTTATATATAGGGTGAAATATTAGTTCAATGAGTCTGGTCTCTGTAGCCATATTAACAAAACAGATGAGCAGAAAAATCCATATCATCTGTTTACATGATTGATTGCTCAGACCCATTTTTCAGAAGATGTTATCTGCATATTGAAACAAATATATTTACTTATACTTTGTATTTTGTATACAAAATTCCAGGTTCTTTATGATGTTAAAATTGAAGGTATGTATGTATGTATGTATATATATATATATATATTTGATTTATGGGGCAATTAGCTGTAGCAGATTTGTTTTATTGGCTCGATTCATTGGTTAGACCATTATCAGTCTTTCTTTCAAAAAAAAAAAATACTATCTTCAATGTGTTCTCTGTTTAAAGCTAAAGTTCTTCAATAGTTTTCTATTGAGATATTTAAGATAAAATTTCTATGCCTGACTTTATGATTATCTATAATCTGATTTTGATACAAATTTCTAATCTGATCTTCTCCTTAATCTGAACAATTAACTGTTATCAGATAGATTATGTAGTGTTTTAAACATATTTGGGTACTCTGTTTTAATGGGTTTACTCAGTCCTCTATCAAGTATGAATTTACCTCACTTTTTCACTTTAAAAAACTTTGATTTTCATGGCTTGATATTTTCCCTTTCCTATGAAGCCATTGTTGAAATATTCAAATAATGTAAAGGAAAGGAATTTAATTGAGGAAGGAGGAAACTAATAACATTTGAATAACTACTATGTGGCAAGTACTTGATGGGAGATGTGTATACAATATTTTAACAAAGGTTACCTGTTTTTTAAATTCCCATAACATTTTTTTTTTTTTACTTAAGAAGATATTATTATTATTGTTGTCATGACCAATTTCATTGACATTAGTATGTATCCTACTTTTATCATGTGTTGCCAAAGACTTCATTTACTTTAATCCACGATGAACACACATGGAAGCAGCAGTCAAGAAATCAAATAATGTTTTCGTTAGGCAAATCTGATGCAAAAGACCTCTTTAAAGTGTTAAAGAGCAAATATGTCAATTTGAGGGCTGATCCAAGTCATGGTATTTTCTGTAGCCTCATATGCATGTGAAAGTTGGACAATAAATAAGGAAGACCATAGAATTGATGCATTTGAGCTTGAGTGTTGGATAAGAATATTAAAAATACTATTAACTGCCAGAAGAACAAACAAATCTGTGTTGCAATAAGTACAGGCAGAATGCTCCTTAGTAGCCAGGATGGAGAGACTTTGTATTTCATACTTTGGGCATATTATCAGGAGGTACCAGTCCCTGGAGAAGGACATCATACTTGATAAAGTGAAGTGTCAGCAAAAAGAAGGAGATCCTTAACAAGATGGATTGGCACAGTGACAGCAGCAATGGACTCAAGCATAACAATTATGAGGTTGGACCAGGACCATGCAGTATTGTGTGTAGTTGTGCATAAGGTCGCTATGAATCAGAACCGAATTGATGGTATCTAACAATAACATGAGCATGCCATTTTGTTTGGGGGATATAAACAAATAAGAAGGTTGGTTCTTTACTTTGGAGGGAAAGTAGGAAGGTATGCTAAAAATAAATAATATATAGTGAGTGCAAATAAAATCACATATTCAGAAAAGAGAAGTCTCCATACTCTGACTAAATATAAATTCTTTAATACTTAGTACCTAGGAACTTAGGTTAGTGGAATCGTATCTTGAGTAATAAGCATTGTTTTTATGGATAAACGTAATTATCACATTGTTAATAAGATAATGTTTTAGTCACTTTCCTAACCGTGAGGGATACCTACTTGGGTGATTAAAAAATGTTCCATACTCCAGTTATATTAAAACACCCATCTACATCCACAGCTGATGACAACATTGAGCATGCAAATGAAATGATTCTGTCAAATAGATGAATGACAGTGGGTTATATGGCAAATTATTTGCAAAGCAGCCAAGATCTGACTATGAAATAATCCATGACAGACTTGGGTTTTGAAAAGTTTGTGTGGGAGGGGTACTCACTGAAACAACAAACAGAAGCATTTGGACATCTGCAAACAAGATTTGAAACCATACTCGAAGGAAGGTAAAAGTTTATTCTTAAAAAACTCATTACTGGTAACAATTACTGAGAGTAAATGGAAGAATATGGAATGGAAACATCCTCAGTTACATACCAAATAAAACTTCAAAAGTTGGTCATTAGCTGGAAAATTGATGCTTACAGTTTTCTAGGATTCTCAAGTACCAACCAGTATTGGAACACTATCAGGAAAAAGGTTCAAAAATCAATAGTGTTCATTACAGTGAAGAGCTGAAGCCTAAATTTCAGTTTAAGCACAAAGTACTGCCATCCAAGGGTATTGTGATCTTACATGGCAATGCATGTCCACAGACCTCTGCCCACACTGTTGACACTCTGCAAAAGCTTCATTTTGAGGTGTTAAGGCATACTCCATATTGTCCTGATCTTGCTCTATCAGACTGTCACCTGTTTGGTTCCCTGAAAGCAGCCTTTCAAGGATGAAGATTCATATCTGAAGAAAAAGTGAAGATAGCAGTGCATTCGTGGCTCACAGCTCAGCCTAAGAAAAAAATTTTTTTTAAATAATAGAATACGAAAGCTTGTTGACAAATAGACAAAGTGTATTGAAAAGCAAGGAGATTATGTGAAAAAAAAAGGCTGTGTTTGTCTTTTCTACAAGTGATTAAAGTAAGTTCTGCAGGCAAAGTGCAGATAATGTTTGACTCACCCACCCATATAGTTCTTAGTAGAGAACACAGAAACATCTCAATATTTTTACTAACTGTTGACAACTGTCTGTATTGAAATTTAAAAACTTTTATTTATTTTGAGTAACTTAACTGTAACTTAATATTCAGTTCTGCGGTGTGTCTTATGCATAATTGTAAGGGGACTTTCATTATAGGATACAGTCTTAAAGGACATATGAACTAGAGAAAGACATGTGACAAATTAGTGATTATCATAATTCAGAATTAATTGTAGCAATTTCATCTAAACAGTACCTGTGCAGACATGCACTATTTATCTAACATGGCATTATTGTTGGTATTCCTTGTTCACACAGAGGCATGAACACCCTTTAGAAACTGATATTCTTAATATTTTTTCAAAGATTATTTTTCAGTAATATGCTAGAATTGGTTCTAATATGAAATATTTTTATATTTTCTTTAAATACAGTAATAACTTTTCCCTTGCTATTATTGTTGTTAGATGCCATTGAGTCAGATCCACTCATAGTGATCTTATGCACAACAGAACGAAACACTGACCAGTCCTGTGCCAACCTTACAATCATTGAGCCCATTGCTGTTGTCACTATGCCAGTCCATCTCATTAGGTATCTTCCTCTTTTTCGCTGACCATCCACTTTACCAAGCATGATGTCCTTCTCCAGTGACTAGCCCCTCCTGATAATATGCCCAAAGTATGAGAGATGAAGTCTGGCCATCCAGGCTTCCAAGGAGCATTCTGGTTGTACTTCTTTCAACACAGATTGGTTTGTTCTTGCAGTCCATGGTATTTTGCATATTCCCCTCCAACACCATAACTCAAATGCATCAATTCTTCTGTTGTCCAACTTTCACATGCATATGAGGTTATTGAAAATACCATGGCATGGGTCAGGCACACCTTAGTCCTCAAACTGACTTTTCCCCTTACTCCTACTTATTCATTTTATCATAAATATGACTGTCTTGTTGGCATTGTAATTATTTTTCAACAGTTAAATCTCCCAATGTACTAAAATTGGATTTACTAGTTTTCTAATGTGGCTGTCTTTTTTTAAAATTGCATCTGGGAAGGAATGGAATCCAGAAAGAAAGAATGAAGAGAAAAGAGATCTCACATCATTTGCAATACCAAGCTTTTTAATAGGTTCTTTACATTTATCTTGCACAAATATAAATTATGTGTAATATCTTTGAAAGTTACATTGGTTTTTTGGCACTGTAGACAAACCTCATTTTTTAATGTATTATCCCAAGATAGGAAACTTGAAACTTAAACACGGGCTACTTTATTTTGCATCTGCATTTTATTCTGGATATGCTACAATAACCAGATACAGGAAAAGTCCTTTCTTCACTCTAGGCTGAAATTACACCACACACCAGTGCAATAAGCACTGGAGTCCTGTTATTAACCAAAGCCAACTACTGCACATGGCAGTAAATGTGGTACATAGACTGTAAATGTGTTCTGATTCTCCTCATACTTCTCTTTGTTGTCTTTTACAGGTGCTAAAATGGGTGGAAGAAGCAGTGCAGGCCTCCAAAGTTCACCTCTTATCCACAGATCATTTGGAACAGGCAGTGAACATTTGGCAAATTCCTTTTGATCCCAGCCTAAAAGAGGTTACTGTGTCTCTGAGTGGCCCCTCTCCAGTTATTGAAATTCGTAATCCTTTAGGTGAGATATATGTAATTTCATGTCATAAAATATAAAAATCTTGGGGTAGAATACTTTTTGAGCACTTATTGATGGTGAGTTGTTGCTGCTATTGCTAGGAGCCTTCGAGTTAATTCTGATTCATAGTGACCCCTACTGGCCCTGTAGGGTGTCTGTTGTTGTTGTTAAGTGCAGTCGAGTTGGTTCTGACCCATAATGACTCTGCATAATGACTCTGCATAGGTGAGCTTGAACTGCCTACCTTGCAGTTCAACCCGATATTGCAGTCCAGTGCGTTAACCCACAGCGCCACATCAGGACTCTGATAGGATTGCAGGGTTTCTATAGGTTGTAATCTTTCTTGAAACAGGTTGCCAGGTATTTCTCTTAGCGTCACTGGTGGGTTCGAATCTCCATCTTTTTGGTTAGCTGCTCAGTGCCAGCAGTCATCCTAATGGCAAGTTAATGCAAAATTTATGAAAAATTTCAATAAATCCCAAAACAGTTAGGGGAGATGCTTAAAAATAAAATAGACATTTTAGTCCTAATTATTGTTGAATTAACATGAGACTCAAATAAGCTAAAACTTTTAATAGTTTAAATAGATCAGATTCAGTAAATTAATTGTTACTTAATAAATTTAAGAAAAAAATTAATATATTCAGTAAATATTCAGAGAACAGTTTTTGTTGATAAGTGCCTCAAGTCGACTCATAGTGACTGTATAGAGTTTCCAAGGAGCGGCTGGTGGGTTTGAACCACTGATCTTGCAGTTAGCAGTTCAGTGTTTACATCGTTACCAAATAATTGACTATGTGTACACTCATTAATCTTAATAGCTTGAACAATTATTATTTTTTATGAAAGAACATATTTGAGTTGCAACTAAAATTATATTTTCCTAATCAGTGTGGGTTAATGCACTGGACTACAAGGTCAATTTGAACTGCAAGGTGTGCAATTCAAGCCCATCAGCCGCTTCTTGGAAACCCTATGCAGGATCGTTATGATTTGGAATGAGTTTGATGGCACTTAACAACAACAACAATCTATGTAAGAGGAAAGGAGCCATGAAGAATCCCCATTGAGTAGTTTTCATCTTGTGTAGATGGATCTGGTGAAAGGAAATGGGGATTTTTATGATTCAGTAGTGAGTAATTGTCATCATGACTAATTGCAACTGTCACAACTATAAAGGTAGAAGTTCTGTAACAAAAAGGGAGTGTAGTTAATAATACAGTCCAGGAACAGAAGACTCTAGGACCATCAAGGGAGAAGAGCATGAGCGGAATGTGGGGCCCTATCCAGAGAAGCAGCAACACCAGAGATGGAGACAGAGATGAGGGCATAGAGAGAGAGAGAGGGAGCAGCTGAGGACTCTAGACTCATGGAAAGAGAAAGGCTATATGCATGCTTACAGAATGTGCCCTTTGGTTGTTTAAATGACTAATTTTTTCTGAGTGTTTTGTGTACATTCTCTACATCCCTCCCCCACCAAAAAAAAAGGGGGGGGGGAACGGAGACAGATACTGTTGAATGCTGATGTATGGAGGAGATTGTAATCATTGCAGTCAAACGGTGCAAAGCCGATGTTTTACCCCGTAAACTATCACTCAGTTCACAATAAAAACTTTAAAAAAAAAAAAAAAAGAGGAAAGGAGCCATGATGGTACAGTAGTTAAGTATTAGGCTGCTAACTGTAAGGTTGGTGGTTCACACCCACTAGTCACTCCAGTGGGAAAAAATGAGACTATCTTCTATAATGATTTTTTTGTTACCCAAACTTTAAGGAGCTCTGGTAGCGTAGTGGTTACGAATCGGGCTGTGAACCGTAAGGTCAGCGGTTCGAAACTACCAGCTGCTCCGCGGGAGAAAGATGAGGCTTTCTACTCCCGTAAAGATTTACACCCTCGGAAACCCTGTACAGGGTCGCTATGGGTCGGAACCGACTCGATGGCACTTAACAACAACAACAACAAAACTCTAAGGAGGAGTTCAACTCTGTTCTATAAAGTAGCTATGAGTAGAAATAGACTCCCTGGAAGTTAGTTTGGTTTTTTGGTTTTTATGTATAGGGAAATATTTCATAGTAAATTATGCAGTACAGTAAAGTATTTTAAGTTACTTTTAAATAAATTACAAGTAAAAAACGTTTAGACAGTTGTCTAAATCTTCACTGATTTATATTGGGAAGTCATCATTTTACAAAGGATAGTTGTGTGTTAAAATCAGATTTATGTTTTTATTAGAGAAATGCTTTAATTTAATTTGTATCAGTTTGAATCTTAGAAAATAACTAATACCTAAACAGTATTTGAAATTGTCATAAGAGATCACATGTATGTTGTTAAGTGTCATCAAGTCGGTTCTGACACATACTGACACTGTATAGGGATTCTAAGGAGCAGCTGGTGAGTTTGAACTGCCAACCCTGCAGTTTAAACTGACTTTTGGGTCCAGTGCATTGTCCTACAGTGCCCCACTAATAATCAAATT